AATATTTTTGAACCTGAACAGAATAAATTTTAAAATGTTGTATAGTAACAAGTGAAATGTTCTCTTGCCATTTACTTGCTGAGGAATGAATATGTTCTGATGAATGTATATACTCCAAATTGGGTATGTCTGGTCTCTAGAAACCTGAAAGCAGCATACTATAATCTGTAGATTTCAAATTATTTCTTCTTGTGAAAGTATGCATGCATACTCACACACAAACCTACACACATCAGAGATAACAAGGCAGGCCACTAAGTAGTTTATGCTGATTGATGACAGTGAAGAAATGAATAAAAGGATTATAAATGTCTGCTTAATTTATACTATAAAATTAGTCATTAGATTTTGTAATCTATTTGATCATTTTTAGAAAATCTATCAGAAACTTAGAAATAAGGCATAAAGGTGGTGGCACCTCTTTATGATGTCACTGTGGGGGTCCAGAATGAGTCAGTCCACATGTGCCTCTGTGATATGCAGATTGTTTCAGACTAAAGGAAATATTATCCTCCAGCTGAAGAGAAAGTTTTGCCCCTCCTTAACCACCTAGAACAGGGATGGGGAACCTTTTTTTCTGCCAAGGACCATTTGGATATTTACAACATTATTCGTAGGCCATACAAAATTATTAACCTAAAATTTAGCCTGCTGTATTTGGTCAAACATTTAATTAACTCATCCCTAATGCCAGACCAAATGATTCCATGGGGCTCATATGGCCTGCAGGCCAGAAGTTCACCCCTGACCTAAAAAAACTTGAATTAAAGGCATTGACCATAACAAGCCATTGTCAGAGATAATCTCTTTTGACCTATCTATAGGGCAAGAAAACTTCTATTTACTGAGCACCTGCAATGACCCTTTGAAGTCCCTGAGGCAATTTAAGTCATCTCTAGCTCAGCCTGTCTTATATACTAGAGACCCAGTGCACAATGTTTGTGCACTTGGGGGATGTTCCTCAGCCCAACCCATGCCCTCTCACAGTCCGGGATTCCTCGGGGTTTGTCCACCAGCCAGCTTAGGGAAGTGGACATAAGCCAGCAGGCACACATCCCCCAGGGGTCCTTAGCACTGCTGGAGGCAGGACTCCTGCCACTGCCACTGTGCTTGCCATGAACCTGGCTTCTGGCTGAGCAGCGCTCCCCCTGTGGGAGTGCACTGACCAGCAGAGGGCAGCTCCTGCCCCCTGGTGTTCAGTGTGTGTCATAGAGACTGCTCATTCTGCTGTTCGATCAATTTGCATATTAGGGTTTTCTTATATAGGATAATATTGTAATAACTCTATATACAGTGCCACTTGCATATTAGAAATTTCAGGAAGAACACTATGCAAAGTATATGATAGTCTACCTGACACTGATGTAAAATAATAGTGATTGTAAACTCTAATTTTAAAAAATTAATTTAAAAAGATAACATGAATTCAGATAAACATAATTAAAATGTATATTTGGATAAATCCGAACAGTTTAATAATTTTGGTCTAAGTAGATTTTTAAAAGTACCATATATCTTTTATCTTCTGATTATTAAGGATAACACTAGTTTTTATATTCATAAGATTTGCTTGTTTTATCAAAAAATGTCCTCGTTAGACTGAATGTCAAAAATATTTTATATGGACCGAAACCAGTTTGGCTCAGTGAATAGAGCGTTGACTTGCAGACTGAAAGGTCCCAGGTTCAATTCCAGTCAAGGGCATGTACCTGGGTTGTGGGCACATCCCCAGTAGGGGGTGTGCAAGAAGCAGCTGGTCGATATTTCTCTCTCATCTATGTTTCTAGCTCTCTATCCTTCTCCCTTCCTCTCTGTAAAAAAATCAATAATATATTTTTAAACGTTTTATATGAGTTTATTGATCAAATAAGCTGATAGTTAGTTACATAATTTTTGGGATTTGAAAAAGTAAATCAGTGTTCAACAAAATTAGATAGTAATTCCAATAAACATTTTATAGCATTAATTATATTTGTTATATATTAGCTTAAACATTATTTCTAATATTTGAAATAACCTAAAATATAAGTAAATGTTAAATAAGGTTAATATATAAATATTTTTTGGATATCTGTTTAATTTCTCAGTAATGGTAGATACTAAAACATTGATTACTAAGTATAATTGTAAACATAAATTTTGCTTCTTATTTTTATGTGTTTCAAGAGACTATCCCTTTGGGTCACCTAAATAAAGATACTTATTTTCTACTTTAAAAAGACTTATAAAAAATATATGTAGCAGTAGAAAATTGTGATATCCATAGTCATGAATTTTATTAGTCTACTAGGATGCATGAATATGATAAACATTTTGTAACAAACCATCTCTAAGCATTTTCTCTGAAATTGATATTTCTTTTGGTTAAAAATTATAATTAACATGAATAGTTGAGCTTATCCTAGGGAAAGTGATGATCCAGAAGCTTAAATGTGGACACAAAGTAATAAAATGTATTTTCTAATCAATTCATATAAAAAGAGTAGTCTAATCTGTTCGTTTATTTCATAATTTGAAAGAGAATATTGAAAAGCAAAAGCTGAATGGTTATAAAAATGTTTCCAATACTCACAGAAGGGGATTTTTACTTGTCTTAGTGTAAAATATCTGGATCTGTAGAGACACAAGGGTTTTGTAAATAGTTTTGCCAAAGTTGGCTCAGTTTTATGTGCTTATTTTTTAAATGCCATGAAGATTTTTCTGCCAAATATTGATGCCAAACTGGAATTTGACTTTCCCACTATTAAAATGATAAATGATTCTCTTTTACCTTCTGTGCAATCTGCCCAGACATAGTAGAGATTCCATGGCCTACCGAAATGATTTTGTATTTTTGAGATAACTTTATCATTTCCTTCATTTTAAAAAATAGAATAAAGTTTCCTAACATATAAAAAGATGTTTCCCTCTAATTTGTTGCCCAGGTATCCATGTTGTATCTTAATTTAATGGCCAAATATCTTATGTAAATCTTTTTTAAATGTATCTATATTGCTGAAAGTATTATATATGTTCCTTTTTCCCCCCATTGATCCCTTCTAGCCTGCACCTGCCCCCTACCTAGGCCTCCACCACAATATTTTCTGTGTTCATGAGTATGCATATATGCATATAAATTCTTTGGTTAATCTCTTCCCACTCACCCTCTCTCACCTCCCTTTGAGATTCTGCAGTGTGTTCTATGCTTCTATTTTATTGTCAGAAGAGCAGGCCCTTCACTTCAGGGAAAAAAAATGAAAATTGTAAGTAAAATGTTTAAATCAAAATATCCCTTATGTTTCCCAGAAAATCCCCCTGAGATGATATAGAACTCCTTTTTCACTTTCTAAAAGTGATACTAGACATAGATTTGTTTGTTATCTTCCATGGTTTTCAATTAGCAAAATACAATCTAAGACCTGCATAGGAATTGTCAAATTTAAAAAGATATTGAGACTACCAAAGCTACGTTTGACAAGTTATAATATTAGTAATAGAAATATTTCTATAAAAATACCTTGCAGATTTGTCAATGACTTTATAATCCCTGGATTGTTCTTAATTTCATGAGAAACATGAATCAGATTCTTAGTCATAGCTATATACTTCACCCCAATAAAAAATTTTACTCTTTTATGTTTTATATTGTTAGCAAGAAATTGAACACAATCATTTAGTATCATTATCAAACAGGTTTTTGCTTCCTTCTGATGGTGGTCTTGAAGACTCTGCTATAAGCTGCATCTAGAATTTGTATATTAAACAACATTGCATTATGGAAAGAACAGTATTAGATACTTTGACCTACTGATACTGCAACATCCTAAAGAGTAGGATATTGTATACAGGTTTTCAAGCTGACATGACTCAGACAATTTTCAGACTATTCCAGTTGAGTGAGACATTATATAGAAATTTCTTTATTGTCCAGAAACAAATGAAAACACACTGCTGATCCCCAATCCAATAGAATTAATTACCCAGGATTAAATAATCAACAAGTGCAATTCAACTTCGGTTATTTGTGTGGAATATTCTTGATGATATTTTCAACATTCTCTTTTTATGGATAGATGAAGTCACTATCTCTAAGCCTCGATTTAGTGGACTACATTTTCTAAACAGAAATAAAACATTTTAATGGCATCTGGTTGTCACTGACCCCTACCTCCTCCTGCCCTTGCTCAGAATTCAGAAACAAGCAACCTCTTTTAAGTTTCCTTACATTTTAGGGAAATATAGTCATTTGCATCCATTCAGTGAATGGATGCAAGTGAAGCCTGTCTTCCTGTTTATAGGTATATGATTGGACGAGTTGAATAGCCAAGGCCTCATCTTGGTGTCACAATGATTCTCACTTAATCAGGCATGACAATCCCACTATTAGGAAATGTGTTGACTTTATATATGGATCTGGTGCTTGGAGCCCCTACCCAGCAAACAGAAACAGACCCAGAGAAAGAGAAGCAGCGATCAGACTCTCAAACCTCAGAAGGAAAGTAGGGGAGGGGAAGAGATCAACCAAAGGACTTGTGTGCATGCATATGGGCCTGGCCAGTGGCCATGGACAACAGTGGGGTGGGGGCATATGTAGGTAGGGGTTTGGGATGGGAATGGGGGGATAAGGACCACTATGTGACACCATAATCAATAAAAAAATTAAAAAATAAAAAACAAAAACAAACAAGAATATTGTGAAATATTTTGCCACATAGTGTATGAGAATGTCACTGAATCTCTCAGCTAGCTCCCACCTAACACCCCTGTGCAGAGTGCCCTCTAATGGGCAGCTGGGGCTGGTCTCAGAGGCTGCAGGGACTGGTGTCAGGTGCAGGAAGGGCTGGTGTCAGGGGCACTGGAGGCCAGCAGGGCAGGAAGGCGGAAGCGGGGGCGGGGCGTCAGGGCGGGGCGTCGGGGCGGGGCCGCGGGGACAGCGGAAAGGCAGGAGCTGGGGGCGGGGCGTCCAGGCGGGGCCGTGGGGCGGGGCCTCCGGGCGGGGCCTTGGGGCGGGGTCTGGGAGGATGGCTGCGCTGAGCCAGGGTGTGAAGGGCCTGGTGGCCCTGATCACTGGGGGCGCCTCGGGCCTCGGGCTGGCCACGGCGGAGCGGCTGGTGGGGCAGGGCGCCAGAGCCGTGCTCCTGGACTTGCCCTGCTCCAAAGGGGAGGCGCAGGCCCAGCGGCTGGGGGAGAGATGCGCCTTCGCCCCAACCGACATCACCTCCGAGTCGGACGTGCGGGCGGCTCTGGCGCTGGCGAAGGGCACCTTCGGCCGCGTGGACGTGGCCGTCAACTGCGCGGGCATCGCCGTGTCCTTCAAGACCTACGACCCGAAGCAGAGCCGGGTCCACCCGCTGGAGGACTTCCAAGAGGTCGTCCACGTGAACCTCATCGGCACCTTCAACGTGGTCCGCCTGGTGGCGGGGGAGATGGCCCTGAACGCCCCGGACGCGGAGGGCCAGCGCGGGGTCATCGTCAACACGGCCAGCGTGGCGGCCTTCGAGGGCCAGGTGGGCCTGGCCGCCTACGCCGCCTCCAAGGGGGGCCTGGTGGGCATGACGCTGCCCATCGCCCGCGACCTGGCGCCCCTGGGCATCCGCGTCGTCACCATCGCCCCTGGGGCATTCAACACCCCGATGTTGTCCACGATCCCCGAGAAGGCATGCGAGTTCCTGGCCAGCCAGGTGCCCTTCCCGCAACGCCTGGGCCACCCCGCCGAGTACGCGCACCTGGTGCAGTCCGTCATCGAGAACCCCTTCATCAATGGCGAGGTCATCCGGCTGGATGGCGCCATCCGCCTGCAGCCCTGAGGGCAGGGCGTGCAGGGCACCCCGCCTCTTCCCACCCTGTGCTCCCGCAGGGGAAGCTCCGTGGCCTTTGTTTAACTCTGCCCACTCATCACCTCTGTGCCTAATAAAGTCCATTTCTTACAGGGAAAAACAACATCACTTCAGTGCCTAATAAAGTAGATTTCTTACAGGGGGGGAAAAAGTGAAAAGAGGAATTTACCCAAATTCATGAGGATCCCACATGAAATCTGGCAGAGAAAATGTCCTGTAGTTGATTTCCTAGCTTTGGAATAGATGATCATAAAGAGAAACTTTTTCCAAACCCAGCCTGAGATTAGGGACCAGAATCTGGGGACAGTAGTTAGTCCTCTGGAATTTGTACTAGGCCAATACGGAATGGCTCTAGCTTTGCAAAGCAAAGTCTGCAGACACATATGGTTAGTGACTACTCTTACAGCACTCATTTGTATACTAAACAGTAAAAGGACAACCACAGTGCATTGTGGAAGTATTAAGTACTTTGAACTAATCAGGTCAAATCTAAACCCACAAACATTTTTGTGAACAAAAATAATCTTTGAAGATTACTTATTATCTCAAGGTGATAAAAAGTAAAAAAATAAATAAAAAAAAAATTGTACAACTCTGAAACTTAAAGGAAAAAAAGTTACCTTTTTTATGTTTTATATTGAAAGATAACTGGAGGATTATCTAGGAGAATAACTTGTGCATGGCATTGTTTACTACTGATTTGTAGTCCCAGATTTGATAGATTTCCTCAGTAAAGGAATTAATTCCTGTCAGATGGAACAGGTAATCCAAATGATTATAGATTATGGCCTGTTGGACTTCAACCAGTTTTATATTTAATAGAGCAATTAGACATTCTCCATCATTTAATTAGTTGAATAAGTTTTCATGAATCAATTTGTAGGAGATCTGTTTCTTAATATTTTAAAAATTATACTTTAATAAATATCATTACTACACATATATGGAACTAAAAAGAGGGAAACATCATTAAAACATCCCAACTTATGCCAACTTCCCACCACCAGTTATCAATGAAATATGATTTTAGACATCTGTCCAGCTGAATGTCTCTACTAGAAAAATATTGAAGGCATTCATAGCAAAGATATGAAATTTCCTACTAAATTTTCCTACTGAAACTCATTTAGAGAGTGTAATTTGGTGGGAATTTTTTTTTACTAAATTTTTTTTTACTAAGTGTTTTAATTTATAATTATATGAACTAATACATTTCTAGATGATCTTAGCTTAACAAATTCTTTCTCTTCCATGGTTTAGAAATTTATATTTACTCTCTAGAATTTTAGGTTTCTGGAGATATTTGGGGTAATATTTGATACTTGAAAATCACATACAAATGTTAAAAAATTATTTTTAATTTTTCCTATCAAGTTGATAACTGAATCTTTCTTTCTGTATCAATATGCTCTATTTTTCCATTACCTTACTGATGTATTGATGGCATGCTCATATTTAAGTTACTTTGATGGCCTGCTATCTATTTCCAGATACCCAAGAAATAATTGTCAACTAATCCCCAAAGGCTTTCATTTTAAGGATGAAGTGAACTACTTCTATCTTCAGTCCTTGAGCCTTTTGAAGAATTGCTATAAAAAGATAATTATTTCCTCCTTTACTAATTTCAGATTTTGTCCCTGTTCTTTTTAATCTTGCATTATAAATTTTTACTTTGTCTGTAATATTATTTTAAAAGCAAAAAAATATTTTCATTTGAGGATAGTCATCTTCATTTTAGTAATAGACTAAATATATTCATATTGACATTGAGCAATGGCAAAAACATTATTCACTATACTCAATATTCACTAACTCAGTAATTACATAATTTTGATAATGAAATAAAGTAAAGGGTTTCTTTTAAAACCACAAGTTAAGAATTCCATTTCTCATGATCTATTTCGCATAACCTCAAGATTGAGTCTATTTTCCATTCATAAAAATGAATCCCTTGAATGTCATAATTCCAATATATTTCTTTTTCTACACTTTGTGAAAACAGACATTCATTTTAATAGTATTTCAATACAATTATTAAAATTTCAAATTGAATTATCCATCATATTTTTAAAAAGGTCATAATTCTATTCACTAATGTTGACAATGTCTTGCCCAAAAAATGATCATAAAATTATATTATCACTCCATTAATTTAATTTTATAAATAGTGATTTATTGGAATGAAAAATGTTATTGGAAAAATGTGTGTGTTTATTTTTTTCAAGGTTCCTCTAACAAAGCTGTATCTCTTACTGATAGTAAGCACCTTCATCATTACAAGAAGACCACAGTACTTCCTTTACACTTTACAAAAGCATTTATTATCTGAATGAGATTACACTTAATTCCAATAACAATTAAATAAATCATTTTATTTATAAAGTTTTTCAGCACCATATTTTAATAAGATGTAGTACTTAAATTGAACCAACCTGTTCGTAATCAGTGAAGATAGGAAACCATGTTGATACAAATGATTGTTTTAACTTAAGTGATTGGCAACCTTTAACACTTGTGCCAGATGGTGGCACACTGGACTGGCAACCAGCTTCTGGCAGGAGCTCAACCCCTTCGGACTTACTATTTGGAGTTGTTACATTCCTATCCACTGACATAGGCACAATCAATATCAATCGTGAATTTCACAACATTTTCCTGCCCTTCAGGTCAAGCCATCTGTTCTAAACTCTGTAATACAAATAAAGGAAAGGAAAATATTTTTAAAATCTTGAAAAGGGTAATTTTATAAAATATGCTTATTCTACTGTAGATTAGGTGCTGGGTATGGAGGCCACAGGAACGTAGGTTACCAAGGAGACAGAACTGAACCTCACATCACCCTGCTTTGGCCCTGGATGATGGCTGGTTAGCCAGAGACTAAGATTCCTCAGGGAAGGAACAACCTAAGGCAGGCACAGTCACAGAGGGGCCATCAGAAGAGAACTTGGGGGTCAACAGAGGTGGGGCATAGACCCTCAACCCTCCCCCCCCCAACTTTGCAGGGGCCTGAATCCTCACCCCTTCTGAGGGAGTCTCCTGCCCCCAAAGCTGCTTTGCTTCCCATACCCAGCTCAAATCAGAACCCAGGTAACAGACAGAGACTTGGCCAACAGCAGCTGCCCTCGCACTATAAGACTTGTTTGAGTTGTCTTGTAAATATGGTGTGGGGAAATGGGTTTTTGATATCTAAATCCAGCCTACCATCAGGAATGCTCAGGACCTATCAAGAAGGCAAATAACCCTTTCCCCTAATATTTACACGGTAAAATAAGATTGTTTTAGAGTAATAAATTTGATAGTAAAATAGTAGACAAGTTTTCAGACTAATTTAAATTGGCTAATTGAAATAAGCGAATATGCTAGAAAAACTAATTGCACTTGGCAGAAAGCTGTTCCTAAAGTGGTTATAAATATTTTGAATGCTTTTTTTTATAAATGCTTTTTTTATATTGATTTTTATATTGATTTTGAAACAATCTATTTCTTAAAATATATAATGGAAATTAGGTGAATAAAAGCATTCACCAAACTTTTTCTCATTATCCAGAATAATGAAAATATGTTAGCAGTTTGTTATTTGGCAGCATGTTGTGTTTTTTTTTTTTAATTTTGAGTTAGCAGATAAAAAAGAGAGATACTGTCTTAATCAGCATCATGCATTTGCTATCTGATTGACATAATTTGAGGACACTGCAATTTTATTTGATACAGTCATTGCTTTTTGTCATAGGAATAATATATTGTTTTACAACACAAAATTGAACAAGAGATGAGAATTTTACTAACATTAAAAATATATATATATATCTTACCTGTCAGGAACATAGAGAATGGAAGAATGTTTAAAAAATAAGTATATGGATTTATGCAGATATTAACAGTAAATCCCTTTTCATTTTATGATTTACTGTCATATTCTACCTAAAAAAGCATTTGTAGAAAATAAGAGTAGATTGATACATTCTTCTCAAATTAAATGATTGTAAAGGAAAATAATCTCATTAAGTACATTTTTAATCAGAGAATAATGGATATAGATTTTTTTGTATTTCTAGCCTTCTCTTTTGGATATAGATTTTAAATGTATTTCTTAATCTTAAGAAAATCACTAGATAAAATTATATTTTGTTTTTGTACTAGGGTTTTGCTGCCAATTCCTGGATTACTTCAGGAAATACTTATCTCTAGAGTACAATTGTTTTAATATTTTGATCATTCATTTTATAATATGAGGACAAAATTTAATTCAGATATCACAGAAATAATACTCTTTGATACAAATATAAAAATTTCCTTCTGTTTATAAGTCCACTGCTATTTTCAGTATAAAAGCAAATATATTTCAGTTATATAGCCTTTTAGTCTTAAAAATTGATTTTCAAAACATGTAGCAGCTGAAATCTTCATTGTGCAGCCTCCTATATAAGCACATAATCCATTGGTGAGAGACACTGGAAGTGGAATTGAAATAGAGTTTTGTAGATTTAATTTGTTTCCTAGTAAAATGCTGAAAATTATATCTGGTTTTCTCTTACAACTATTTTGAGAATACAACTCTATGTGATAGAAACAAATTCTTCACTCTTGTACAATAAAAATACCTTAGTATCCTAATGAAAAAGATGATCACATCTTCTTTATTTAGAATGATAAATTCCTTTCTTCCTCCAGATTTCTAATGGGATATTAGTATCTGTATAAATCACACAGTTTGTACCCTAGAATCAGAAAGAAGTTATTGTCACATACTGCTTTTTTTCTCTTTTTCAGTTGTCTGTCTCTCTGTTTTTCTCTCATCTCTGTTTTTGTTTCAAAGTATCTCCATCTCTCTCTCTGCCCTCATGGTATTTATATGATTTATGGCAAATTATATTTGCCTAAAGTTTAAAATGATACTAGTAAAAATATTATAGCATATAAAAATTCAAAAATACAAAAATATGTGTTATAAAATGTCTCCCAATCCTAAA